CTCCCAGCTGTTGAGGATTCAATCTGATGGCATAACTGGGGTTCTGCTATGTATGTATTGAGTTCACCCACATAGAATAAGGAAAGTATTATATATGTTATTATGAATGAGCTATTAAGAGTGGAATTACAGCAGTCTCATAAGTAATGATGGTGTGACCTGAAATTCCAACTGTGAGTGAAAACCACTGAGAGTATTTAACTCAACCAGTGACAATACAAGAATGTTTTTCTTGCGGGGGCTGGCTGATGACTCAATTACCGGTACTTTTGAATAGGCAAAGCTAATGAAGGGCACGTGCCCCTGGAAGGCAGTTTGCAAGTTCATATGCCCAGTTCTAAAATTTTAATATTTAGGAGTCTGTTAGGGCTGGTATAGAGAAAGAAAGCAGGAAAATGCAGAAGTAGAAACCAGTCAACATAGAAAATTTACTGAACAGAGAAGCTGCACAGTTCACATCTCAACAAACAAGCAGCACAGCGACAAATATTCCAGTCCGGAGTCCTGCTCATGCAAGCTCTAAAAGAAACTTCTTTGCTGGTTGTGAAATTTTTGCAAAGGGAATTTTTCCAGTTGTTCCTTTGGCTACTGACTGGCTAACACTGCTAACACTGCTGTCAAGAGGAGATAATGTAGACTATCACAAGTGGTGTTCCTCTGCTATTCTTACTTCCTTTTTTTCTGTCTGGATCCAATTTATCATTTACTAATTTTTGGTTCCTACTGACCAGGTCATTTGATGATAAAGTTTTGCATTTTTTTAATGTTCAGTATTTGATAATTTCTTGGTGGCAATGTTACATTTATATATTGTGATGTATATAACAAAATATAAGTAAAAGAACAGAATTAAATTTAGATACTGAGATGTCATGTCTGAGATGTACCATGCTGTTGCATAAATTGACTTATTTTGTTGAGTATTCATAAAATATTATATTGCAGTTTCTAACCCTCAAAACTATTAAATGTCCCCATGGGAACTTCTAGCATATTCTGAAGTAGTTCATTGTGTCATTGACAATAAATCAGCTTCTCAACCTCCTTTTGAATTTTCTATAACTCAGTGATGCACACCTTCATGAGAATGATGTCACCTTTGTTTACTACTCAGCTCACCTTAGAGTAAATTATCTTCTGAAACAACTTGCATTTCCATCAGGAGCCTTAATAGGGATGAATTCTATGACATCTTATGCCACTTGTTAAAAGGGGTGGTCATATACACTTACCCTCACCCCGACTCCACCTATCACTGAGAAAGCATCAAAAACTGGCCAAAATAAAATAAAGGAAGAACCAAGAAATTCAACTTCTTTTTGAAGCTGATGGATGTTCTACAGTTGTGTCTTGGTTTTAAGGTACAACTTGTAGGTGCCACTGCGCATTAGTAGCTTCATAAAGTTGCTAGCATGGATGTAGACTTGTAGTGTTTTTTATTAAAATGTTGATAAATATTATGATCTATATAAGTTTTAATGTTCTGGTTTTGTGTATGAGATAATAGCAATTCTAGATATGCAATATATACACAGTTGTATCATTAAAACAACAGCTGTCAGTCCTGCAATAAATCATGATGGTGATAATGTTCACTTTTTTGTTCAGACTTGTAGAGAGATGTCGATTCAACTGTCTTAATTTGGAAGCGGCAGTCTAGTCTATGCTGTTGTTGAAATGTATTGCTTTATACTGACAGGTGTTTCTGTTATTTTGTCCACCACATTCATATCATTAACAGTAATTTAAAATATATGAGCAGATGTTATGTAAGGCCTTACATAAGTGCTGATGTTTTGGAAATACAGTACATAGGCTGCATGTTTTGGGCAGTGCATTTGGTAATATCTACCATAATTATCATATCGTGGTTTACCTGAGGTGAGCCAACATAATGTCGACATAATGTGCAGGCTGTGTTTAAGAGCAGATCATCTTGATCTTTGGCTTATTCTACTCTGGACCACAAAGGCCTGTTGCATCTTGGTCAGTGCAGACTAATGATCAAACTCATTTGATTTATTGCACAATAAATAATATGCTGAGGATGACAGTGCACAATATTGCTGCATGTAATGCATCGTGTTACAAGTCCCACCTGTGCTACACCACTGCACATCATTCTCACAGGAGAATTTCAATACTAATTGTTTAGGCACCACCTGCTGGCCATGGTCTGCTTATGACCAGAAGGTGGCTATTTTGTTAAATACTGACCAGTTACTCATACTACATAAAGGGTTAAAAACTTTAATTAGAGGAGTTAGTATTATATTTAAAAGAGAATTACAAATCCTAACAGTTCATTGTGGGTAAAGTTTATATCTCTCAGAAGAGATAGGTTTTTTTAATGTTCTGCTAAAAAATCACATTGTTACCAACTATTCCATCTTTTTTTTTAATACAATTATATAAAACTTTACATTTTATTGCACAGGAAAATGATCTCAAAAGAAAAACAAATTCCACAAAGTAATGCAAGTAATTTATATCTAATTATAAATGCATAATATCTGATGGCCTGACGGATTGTCACTGCAGAGGAGGACAAAGAGGAAGGAAGAAATCACAGTCAAAAGTCAGAAGAACCTCTTTTATGTAATCTGCCTGCAGTATATTTTACCAGCATTCATCATTTGTCAGGGATTAATTACATTTTCTCTTGCTCACACTTCAGCTGTTGTAGCTTAAAGTTAACATAAAACTTAAGTACCTATTTTATCAAAATACCCATTTATTATATTAATAAAATGCACAGCAGATGCACAAATAGTCACTATTTCTACAATTTATTTGTGTATTACAGTATTCATTTACAGTATTCATGCATGTCTGTGCAAAACTGCACAAACATGCACGTATTATGAAGTTAATCATTTACTTTTAAAATAAAGACAGGGAACTGCTTGTAGGCATGACCTAAAATGTGACATTTTTCTGGAACAACTGTTTCTATCAAGGAATTATCACAGTGTTACCTGTATGTTGATTTTTGTTATTACAGTTTTGCTTTCTTGGTGACACACAAAGTCTTTTTGTATAGGCTTAAGGGTAAGAATAAAGTAGGGCAAAAGAACAGCAGCTGAAAGAGATATCAGCTGAGCAAGTGAGTCGGACTTCTTTGAAAGCACCATAGTTGAGTGATATCGTGTCTTCTGTTACAGTACATAACACTTGCCACATCTTTATGGCTGAATGAATCTTTAAACTGTCTGTAAAAATGTCTTGCAGCAGTTAAAGGAGTTAGGGTCCCTCCCGCTGAGGTAACCATCTCATGCACATGAGCAGAAAACACTCTCTCAGTACTTACAGGGAACAAATGAGCTTCACACTGTAATCAGTCAGTAGAGGCCTGATAGTGATGCTTTATTTCACCTTGATTCTTCTCTTGTGTATTGTTTGACAGCCGTAATGGGCTTATTTCTGTTCATAATGGCAAATCTCAGCCTTCTTATGTGGTATGAGAGCTTGGGATTTTGTGATGGAAAACAACATTATTGACATTATCTGCTTATCTGCCAGCTTTGACGCAATGGGAGCAAGGCCATGACTGGATGAACTTTTCTTATCATCATATCTATGTCTCCAAGGCCAACCCAGAACCACTGGCCATCCATTTTTTTTAAACATCACCATGCCTCTAGGTTTCAGGTGGGCTTATTGTTCCCTGTGCAGGCAGAATGCAGGCTGTGGGCTGAGGAACAATGCTGTGTTCAGAGAGCAGGGAAGAAACTGCACGTAGCGGTCATATTATGCAAGGCAACTCCCTGTTCCATCTTTTCCTAAGTATGTATGACTGTCTAAAGAGATGCAGGCCAAAAAAAACAAAAACAACAACAAATAATTAAATTGGACGTACCTCTAACAAGTTGAGTAAACATGACCATCCCTGAAAGAGGCCTTTTATGTAACAAACTAACTTTTAAGCTTATTGTTTTCATTATTGCAGTTTTGTCTGCCTCTATGTGCAGATGAACAAGCTAAAATGAGAAACCAAACAAAAAATAAAATAAAAAAACATACATTTGACAAAAAATAAATAAATAGAAACATTTGTAAAGTAAATAATGAAAATCACAAATATAGACAAAATACATTGCAGGGTTGAATCCTAAGGAGGGTTAAGAAAATATGAAGCTAAATCACTAGTTAACTATTCTAATTCCCTTCTGCAACAAATCTCATTTGTAACACTTACTGTATTTAAACCCAGGAAGGACAAGTCCATGTTGACTGAGTCCAGGTCCAAGGTTTATGTGTATTTGCGTTTAGTAACTTTTCAACTTCCCAGTGCACATTCTATTCAAGTTCATTGCAGCAAAACACTTCTGAGAGGAGCAAATCATATCGGTGAGTCTTCATTTATGATGAATTTATAGTTTATAATATGCAAGATGATTATATATTAATATTCATTTTAGACACAAGAAGGGGAAGATGTGACATATACAGTACAAATGAGATTGGGAGCATTGTACGTGAAATAAAGCCTGTAAAATAACTTACAGTATAATGAAAAGTAATACATGTCTATGGCTAGTTTTACACAACACATCCTTACACTGTTGTCGCTGTTGTATTGAAATTTGGCCAAGTATTATGACAATAAGGTTGATGAACAAGAACTCTTCTCAAGGAATACATAGATGCAAAAATTAAAAATTAGTAGTGTGCCAGCTGATTTCCTTTACATCTCAGTTTGTAACATGGAAAAATAAAATCATAAGCAACTGAATGTCAGATCACAAGGTTATTATTAGTCAATCAAAGCCAAACATCAATATGTGCAATAATTTCAGCAGGTCAATGTTTATTATTTCAGTTCTGAGTCAGTGGAATCTTGAAATTTGATAGACTGTTATCACAAAAACAGCTTGTTGCTTTGCCAGTGTAATGAGAAAGGATGCATTTTAGTTTGTATGGGATAAGCGGTTTAGATAGTGAACATTTTTTGTAGGGCTTACTCAGGTGAAGCCCGGAACTCTTCAATGCGCCTGAGACGACACGGAATGTTTTGATGGTTACACTAAAGAGTTGTAAAGCCAATAGAAGTCTCTTCTTCCCTTACCTGTGTAGTAAGGTTTCTGTCATTAGTTTTAATTACATTTAAGGAGAACATGTTTATATAACGAGTTGCTTTGATTGTGTATTATGTATAGGGAATTTAATACCCGGATAATCTGGGCGAGTAACTTAGTGTTAGCACAACGTTAAAGGAAATGGCGACATTTAGCTAGTAGCAGCAGGACTTTAATTAACATAGCCTATTTTGTGAGTGAAATACAACGCATGGGATAAGGCTGTGGACCTCGTCGGACTTTACATTTCCCCATGTGCCCCAGCCGTAAAGAGCTAATGTCTGACTGCTAGCGTTAATGGTCACTGTGGGATTATTATGTGTCGAGTCAATTTTCGAAGCTAGTTTGCCAGCCATTATTAACGTAGTCCCGTGTGAACAGAAAGCTCAGTTTTCACATAGGCGCTCGACTATAAAGCTAATATTTTAGATATAGTGTTTGCTTCTGTAAGCGGGACTCGAGGCTAGCACCGGAAACAAAACAGGTAAAAATGTTGAGTTAAAGTGTAGAGCTAATGCACCCAAAACTGTTGGGGAGAATGTTTTCAAAGCTGCCGTCATTTTGTGTACTAGGTCTTCCTGCTTTAATTGTGAATTTAGATCAACGTAGGCTGTTTAGATGACAACAAGCATATTTCGGGGACACACATGGAGCACAATGTCCAAACACATATAAAGCGTTGTTTTCTTTTTAGACACACCACACGTGTGTCCCTGTGCTTCACATTGAGTTAGCAGGCAGTCAATAGTAAAACACTCATACAGTAACTATAGCAGCTACCAAGAAAAGCATATACTGCTATAGTCGGCTATAGAGACATCCAGTACATGTCCTCACACCCCACTAGAACTGTACTTTTAAACCTCCTGAAACACATGCACACTTGGACTGGTCTATATACTGTAGGTATCAACTGACTATAAAATGAAACGAATACACTCTAAAGTATAGATGACCTAGATGAAGGCTACAAGCCAAACACACTGGTCTCACAATAAAGGTGTTTCAAATGTTACAGATATTGTTTGGGGACACTTGGACAAAACAAAATTATCTTGTGCTGTGGGAAATTGTAGTAGTTCTCACATTTTAAAGACTAAATACATTGATAACTAGAAAAAAATCACTGGCACTATAATCAGTGATGGGAATATTGTAATTGTGTCACAAGAAGCAGTAGGTTGGATATTTGACTCTTCAGTCATTTTACCAAGTAGACTACCAAAGGAATTTGTTGACAGGGATGTAGATATTAAATGGCTTGTTTGTTTTTCTCAGTTGTGTAACTTCAGGTCAGATTTCTATAAAACTGCAGCAAAATATTTAAAAAGTTAATAAAATGTTTTATTTTTATGCATTTTCTGCAGGCTTTCAGGATGGCCCAGGCAGACAGCAAGATGATGGTTCTGGGAGCATTGGCTGGGGTGGCTGGCATTGGTTTGGCTGTGGTGTGTTACCAAGGCATTAGGTCAAGACGAAGAGCCTCGTGTCCGGGGTTCTATCTCAACCGTGCTAATGCACAGGGGACCGGTATCATGATGGTGGACGGTCCGGTTCTGCCCACTGGTCAGGCTGAGGTGCTGAAGCGCCTCGAGGCCCTGATCCAGTGTGTGTCTGAGCTGAAGGATGAGATGAAGGCATTGAAGAACGCTCTGCCAACCCTGCAGGACCAAGTCACGGAGGAGCTGAGGGGGCGCAGTGAGGTGCGTCGAGCTAGTCCTCTACACAGGACCACACCAACACGAAGGAAAAGGGCTGCAGGCACCGTCACTGGGTCCAGACCTGGGGGTCGGAGTTCAGAGGAAGCAGAGAGCGAGGGAGGGTGAGTGCTTTAAAAGCTGGGAGATTCAATATTTTAGTTTTATTTCTCTGAAAATGTTTCTACAAATGGGCCTTACTTTAGTCACAAAAGATTCTTTTAAATTGTTTAAAGTCAACATTGTCACAGCAGAGGTTATTACTGGGTGCCTCTGAGCAAGGCACAAAGTTACTACTGCTACCCCTTTTCCCCCCTCACCCTTTGACAAGGGCACATGTAAGCCCCTTTCAGGCATGCACCCCTAGCCAAGAATTTGCTGAGCTAACACTGAATGGCTGGAAATTGGGCTGCCATGGAAATCAAATGACTACTCCCCCTCCGCACAAAGGAATAATGGTGTGTCTGCCTCGTGTGATGTTGGATATCGAGTGAACTTTGTGGCTGTACCTGACTAGGTTCTGCTATGTTTGAACAAAGTCTTACAGAGAATTTTATGCACAGCAGCTCTATGTGTGAACTTTAAAAAAGCAACTGGTACATAGCTACATGTACCCTTCATATTCCCAGGTATCGAGTCTGTGCTGTAGTTTTTAAGCATTTTATTTCAACTGACCAACTGCATTCAAGCTTACAAGAATTCACAGCACAACCGTTAAACTGACCACACACACTGACACACATTTCTTGGTGAGCTTGTAAACAGCACAACTGTACCGCACAGAAGAGTTGGACCTTTGATCATAGTCAGTATTTTGGACCACTGAGACTTATTAACTTGTTAGATCACTTTGTGCTCAAAGAATAGTATCTTAGTAGTAGTGACAGTGAATGACAGAAAGTCTTTCTGGATCCCAAGGGGTTTTAAGATTTTATGATTATGGCCAACGTGCAGCATAATCTAATGCTGTTCTGGTGGCCTGGTACAATACCACTTGGTTGTGTGTAAGTACAGTGGCTGTCAATTGCAGGATTTTGGGCTGGATTTGTTTTTACATGAATAACAATTAGACATGCAAATGCCAAGGATGCAGAACAGAGTGTCCTGTGCTGTTCTCTCTTAGTGAGGACAGAGGACAGAGAAGAAGATTATCACAGAAGTGGATTTTTGATGGTGTTGGTTAAAAGCAAATCTAACAAATTGACAAGGTTTCTGTGACCAATAATATTCACTACTTCACTTATCAATTTTTTGGGGTCATGCTTATCACATATTATTGACATCTAAATGCTGATATTAAATAAATGCAAAATTAAAAAAAGCATAAATAAATAAATAAATAAAATAAAATGATCTCAACAGGTGAGAAAGTGTAATTTGATTTCAGGTTAATATTCACTTTAACAACCTTATCAGTTTATCAGCATGTGGATCAAAAATCTTATGACCCTCCTGCTTTACCAGTTTAACTTGCTTGCTCCTTTTCTGTGCTAAATTACAGTTCTGACAGTATGAACAGTTCCCTCGGGTGCTGCAGGGAACTGCAGACTAATCAAGCAACGCATGCTCAGTCATCAACCTCCACCTTCAGCCAAATGCCTTGAACCCATGTCAGCCTTATATAAGATAAACGACAGATGTGTTCCTTTTGAATGGACTGCCATTATAATCTCATCTCATAAAAACTGTCTTATAAAACCAACAGTTAAATGATGATGATTAAGCCAGGGCTCAGCAGTCTTAGATATGACTGTGTATAGTGTATTCCCAACACGCCATTCAGATGTTTTATTATATCTGGGGAACAAATCAGAAAACATTGATTTGGAGTGTTTCAGCACATAGAGTCATTTGAGTGCTTAGCCTGAGTTGACCTCTGATTCATATACAGTATATGGAAAATATAGCGTGTGAAGTGACAAGAAGACATTATTCTCAGAGTGCAGCTGCTTTCACATCCTCACCACAGTGTCTGGATGTGCAGTGAGCCTTGGATCAGAGGTGTATGGATCTTCCCTATCACTGTTGCTGTCCTCACAATGATTAATCAGTTGCCTTAGAGCAGTTTTATTTTACAATTACACCAACATTAAACAGGCCAAGTGAAAATCGCCTGCACTGTCAGTCTTGCATAGAGATTTTGGGGTGACTGCTGGTTGTTGTTAGTTTGTTTTTTCAAGGAAAGAAGCCAGTGTCGGTTGTTATATAAGGTTTAAGATGCTTGAGATGATTGAGATGCAACCAGGTACATGTGGCTATAAACATAGCAAAAAGGTTCATTACAATGGTTTATTTTTTCCCACTATGGCTTGCTTGGGTTTTGCCGTTTGATCATTAGTGGAGCATCTGGAAAGGAAGAGGGCTTCTTGAGGTTGTGTTATGGAAAAGCAGACAAAAAGTTCTCATGTAATTTTCTAGCAGTAAATGTTATTCGACCTGCGTCATGTCAGGAGCAATATACAGGTATAACCAGCATGAAAAGTACTCCTCTTACCCTAGAAGGATCACAGGTCATGTACATTTGTTGGCATTGGAAGTAAGACAGCTTACATAAACAGGTAATGACACCATATCAAATGAGTCTCCTTTCATTAAGGATAAAGATCTCAGGTCACCCTACTTCTACCTATATTACCACCACCCTCCTCACAGGATAGATGAGCAGATGCAGGTATAAGACTGCCCTCTAGCAGATGTGGTTCACAGGTTTTGAGTGACAGTCATTGGCCGCCTCAAATGCTCTTAATTACAGCCTGGGTTATTATGCTTTAAAAGAAATCACATCATGCACACACCTTCCATAATTAAAGAGCCTTTCCTGCTGCTCTGTTATATGTATGAGCAGAGGGTGTGGGGGTTAGGGGAATAGTGCAGTGAAGAAGTTCCAGCCCCCTGGGGAATGTGTGGCGTCACCCCCACCATAGGAGCTAATGCACCCCTAATCCTCATATCCGCTGAAAGGGCTCTTCATGTCTGTGCAACTGGCTTGGAAGTGTTTGGAGTATATCTCAGCACAGTATCCCAATAAGAGCTGTTATTCTAAGGGTTGGGTAATAGTCACTGCATGTTTGTTGAACTCTAAAGCCTTAAGAACAATTGGCAAGATTAGTGCATTTATTGCTTGGTGCAGAATCTAAGTTTGCAAACACCTCATTCTGTTGCCTCAAAAATAAGTAGAAGCCATCTTCAGTTGTTGCATACTCTCAGTTCTAGTACTGGGCAGCAAATGATTTAGTAAATTAGAGACAATATAATAATACAAAAAAAGTAATGTAAATAATATCATTTGGGGGCTGCAGGTTTCCAACAGGGGCCTTATGGTAAGACAATATTTCCAACCAGAGTCTGTGTAATAAAAAATAATTACTTTTGTAGAAATGTTCAGCAATGACAGAACAATTAGGGTGACATAATGTCCAAATTACCAAGCAGGGTAGTGTCGATCAGGACAGGGAACGTGTAGGTTCAATGTTCCAGTGGTTTACTCCATTCACTCCTCAGGTGTCACAAGGGCTTCCTCAGAGCGGTCTCTCTGCAGGTAAAGAGACCCATCAGTCACCCTGTCTGGGTGCCAGGCTGTCAGATGCCTCATTTAAAAGAGTCTTGTAGGAACTTGTAATTCTTTGGAAAGTTCCCACTGAGTTTATTCACATCGCATCACTGTAGCTTAAGGACATTACTTCTTCTTTTTTCCTTTTCCAAAAAAATAGCATTTATGACACTGGATAGTTGTTGATTTAAGCAGATTTAAGCAGCAGTTTTGTTTAGTAATGGGCAAGCCTGATCAACACACCAAGAAATGTTTAGAAAGAGAAAAATGATCTTATTGTCTGCTTTGTGATTAAAAGCTTTAGTCTAACTTCCCTGTGACATCATGGTACATGCTGCTTTGCAGCTGCCAGTATCAGACATTCACATTTATATCCTCAGATTCATACATCAGTGAAACAAACACATGCATTTATTGAAGTGAGTATGAGTAGAGTGTTTACAGTGCACACAGAGCAGACACACTCAGCTGCCTGTTGTGTGATGGGTCTTAAAACCTCAACTTCAAACAGTATGTCAATTTTTGGTATCGATGAAATGTTGATCATACTTCCTGTGATATTTTCTGTGCCATTAAAGTCCTTTTCAGGCAGCTGTATGAATAATATGAACTACTGACTAGCCCTGCTTTCTTAGCAAATCTATTAACACTATTATAAAAGGACTAAACCTTTCCATGGAGTCACTGTCTCCAACCATGACTCTGTTTCTTTCAGAACGCTTGAGTTTCTTTTTCTGTAAGTGTAGATGCCCTCCCACCTTCTGCATGCTTGTATTTCTTGCCCATTAGTACACAGTGTGCACAAATGCCAGCTTCCAAACTTGTTTCTTCCTTCTGCTATTTTAAGCACAAAATGTCAAAACATCATAGCGGAAGTGCTATTTATGGATACATAAACACACAAGATGAATCACTGCATTCATTATTGAATTGTAAAGTCATCTTGAGTCTGTGAGAAATGAATGACTTTTTTGTTTCATCAGCCATTTATTTTCCACCTGTTTTACTTAACAGAGGGGGACATAAGAAAGCCAATGATGTTGTCAGCTACGTGCCTCAGCAGCTGATCAGTTAATTAATGACTAGCCATGGGGGGACATAGGGAATAAATAATTGGATTCTCTCCAACCAGTCAGCCATTGTTGTACAGCAGGCATTCATTGGTCCTGTCACCACAGCTACACACACTGAATGAGCTGGCCTGCATGTTCCAAGGCCTGGTGATGTTGGGATGGTAACTCGAGTTTGTTTTTAATGGTGTATCCATGGAGACTGCCATTACTGAGCTCTATTGAGATCCCTTCATTGCCCCTTTGGGTCTGTATAGTGAAAGGCTGATCTCACTTAATGAGCACACAGTTAATGCTTTTCAGTCTTGAAAGTTACAAAGTACATAGGTACAAAGAGTGTTCAGAGGCTGGACACCGCACAAGTGGAAGATAAAACCTAATGTTCCAGTGGGCTGTTTTTTTTTAAACAAGTAATAGATGGACTGACCTGGTTTAAAGACTTTTGCTTACTATATACAGTATTTTCATTTAAGTCACAGATTTTAAAAATGCCCTTGTGTGTTAGAATAGCTATATTCATTTTTTCTGATGTGTCCATAGAGTTAAATACTGCATCTAACATCCATCCATCTTCATCCACTTCATCCGAAACCGGGTCGCGGGGGCAGTAGCCCGAGCAGAGCCTCCCAGCCTTCCCTCTCCCCACACACCTCCTCTAGCTCCTCAGGAGGAACCCCAAGGTGTTCCCAGGCCGGCCGGGAGACATAGCCTCTGCAAAATATCCTGGGTCTGCCCAAGGCCTTCTCCTGGAGGGACAGTTTTATTTATTATGAAATAAAGTAGTACTTTTTAAAATTAAACTAATAATCTTTAAAATGCCCACCCCAAAGAAAATACTTTTGATTATTTCAAGCTACTATAACACAAATTGATAAGTTGATTAATTGATAAGTTGATCAGGAAATTAACTGCCATCCATTTTGATAATTGAGTAATTGTTTAAGACATTTTTATTATGCAGAAGTACCAAACAGTTTTTGGGAACTGTTTGTGAACTAGAACTACATTTTTCATCTGTTTATATCATTGTAAACAAATATAAGACTGTGGACTGTTTATTGGAAAGAAGTAGCAATTTAAACTCAAATCCAACTCGGGGAAAGTTTGATATCCATTTGTCATGATTTTCTGACATTTTATTGACTGAACAGTCAAATGACAAATTGAAGAAATAGTTCACAGATGATCTGATAGTGAAAACAAAGCAGTGTTAGGCCCATGACACACCACTCTGACGGTTGGATGTCAGCCAGTGTTGGGCCATTGGTGAGCGTCTGTTGCCTCTGTCTTTGCAGTGTGTCTTGTACTGCTGGTGCTAGCTGAACCCTAGTTGGCAGCTTTTTGGTCGATTTGGCATGTTGATTCGGCGGTGGATCCCAGCTCTTCAGCTTAGTGAATCATTGCAGGAGAAAAGAAAGATTTGGGACAACCTCGAGTCAAGCCCTCAGCAACAGCACTCGATATAGCATTGCTAGACGGTGCCTATTCATTCCTATGAAAGTTGCTCAGTGGCACAAACTCAAAAAAAAATTTATAGTCATGCTGCCAGATTCCAGTTATATAGCTTACCCTGATGTTCCGGATGCTTCTGGGTTTTTGGGCCCATAGAGCATGCACACTTGCACCGAGCCAAGTCTCCCACTGGACAAGCCGAGTGGCTTAAAGTTGGCACCATGCACACATGAATGGGATAAAATAAAAATTTCCTACAGCTAAACTAGAACTTTCAAATGATTCTGGTCCCATTGAATCCAATTCTCATGATAAAAAAGGTCATTTTACAGGATTTACGACTCTTGGAAAAATTTATTCAATGAAAAATGCTTTTTTGGGCCATTGTGCATCACATTATTATAAAAATATTCAATATAGCAGATTTAAGGCAGATATATTTTCATATAAATTAGAATATATTTGATGGTAAAAGACCACATAACATTGCACTTTGTAAAACAGGACAGACTTCATCTCAGCACACACTAGCAGCTCTATGGTGTTGACTTTGCTAGCTGTGGAGCGTAATTTTTGACAGTTCCTTTTCTTGAGTGAAGAAAGTCTCTGTAGCTCAATGCCCTCATATTACTCCTGTATTTACAGCACTCAGGGCTGAGGGTATGTTGTGGGTGGAATCAGGAAATAGCCTCCAGCAGAAGACACCTGTGCCCCAGTCTGACACATCCCCCTAGAACCATGGCTCGCAGCCCAAAATATTCCCTTAACCACCAATGACGCACATGCAGCCTCTGCCAGCACTTAATAGAGGCTTTTTATATTTTCACCCTTGTCTGTCTTTCATTGTAACTATACCTTTAATATAGATCTTTTAGATTTTTTTTTTACTTCTACTTCTGAAGTGTTATCTTAGGGTGCATACTTACAGTAGTTGAAAAGGCACCATAAAACATCTAATGTGAGTGTTGTGTGTCTCACCCTGACAAACTACGTTTGAGTAATAGCCTTCAGGTATCCACGTTAAAACATCACGAGTTATTTAGGTGCCCCACTTATGTAAACAAAACCGATGCTATTGTGTGTGTAAACAGGCACTGAAGATGGATTTTTATAATAGGCACCTGGCAGAAAACAAAAATGCCTGTTAAGACAGGATTTTGATTGGCTGTAAAGATTCCTCAGCTGAGGTGTTTTCAAAGTAGTAAAAGATGGTTTTAGATTTACAGGAACACAAACCTATGTTTTGTGATTTGGGATAACATTTAGACTATTTATTAATGCTTCCCAAGGCCAAGATGTGCATCTTGCTGATGGTGGGACGGTGGCGGTCAGTCTTGGCAATTCGAGTGACCTAGGCTTCCAGTTCAGCTTTCTGATTCGCATCAGTGAAGCTTATATGCACATGCTGACAGCAAATGGAAGCTGCAGCTTTTCTTTTATTAACACCTTCCCTCTTTTTATTTGTGGTTGCAGGTATATGACTGCACTGACAGACTCTGAGGATGAAGAGCTGAGTGATACTGAACAGAGTGACGAGGAGCAGCCTGAGAAGAAGTTAGCTGTCCTTCTTGAGAGGGTCGACCGTTTGCATCAGGGCAATGAATGTGACAAAAGGGAAAGTATCAAAATCCTATTAGAGCACAGAGAGGAGGTGTGTTAAATTGGTTGTTAATCTGAATGCATTCAGTTTATAGATGTTTGTTCAGCTAAGTACACAACAGAGTGTCTTAATGCTTCGGTGTACTTCTCTAGTTTGGACAGAACTCAGCATTTCTTTGGCGGCTAATTCGAGCTTACTGCGATGTTCATGATATCAGCTCCACTCTGGAGGAGAAGAAGATCCAAGCAGAAACCGGTAATTTACTAAACCTTTTTAAGACCGTACTTGCCAAGCATCTCAGTCTGGATGTGAAGTGCTGTAATGCAATAATCACGGCCATTATACTGGTCAAACCGTGAATGTCAGTTTCTCATCTGGAAAACCCAAATCCATGCAATTCTGTATTCCTGCAGTTACCTCAGTCAGTTGGTTTGAATTGCTGGCCCACAGTACACTGTCTGAATTGGCGCTACTGTGTCATACTACCCTGATTGTATTATACTGTATCCACACATAGTGCACCTCAGATGATAATTGAACAACATCTCTAGAAAAGCCTTATTGAACGCTCATCACTGGCTCTCAGTATAAGACGGAATGAGACGCTGAGTGATGGATTTAAAATTGATATCTTTTCCTTGATTACATTTCATATCACTTCTGTTTTTTTTTTTTTTGTTTGTTTTATTCTAGCGTCCTCTGATGTTTCTTGATTTACATATATCCTTTTTTGTTTATTTAGTCAACGCACCTATCGACTACTAATGCACACTATCGTGCATTGTCATGTGAACCGGAAGGTCTGGGGTGAATTGCATGTGTTGAGTTTGTTTCAGTGGAGCATCATTACCTGTTTTCTGTCTTTTCTGTCCTCTTAGGGAAGAAGGTTGGTGAGGAGGCAGTGAGCCTGAACCCTATGTGTGCTGAGAGTCATCAGTGGTAGGTTTGAATAGTTTCCTTCCTTCCACATCATCATTTAAATCAAAGCGTAAAATAGCTGTTTTCAACAGGGTTTCACAGTATACGGTATTATACAATTACTAATATTATCAGCTACAATGACCCTCAAAGGAATGAAAACAGAGGGTGTTCTTTTATTGCAAGTGACTGTGACAGTTGATTGAGCTGGACTGCAGCACTAGAATGAAGATGAATAAACAGAATTATAAACATGATTTTTTTTAAAAGCATATAACTAAAGCATGTTATTTTGCATCTTAACACTAGTAGTAGAGGAAGTATTCACATCCCTTACTTCAGTAAAAATACTGCTGTCACACTGTGAAAGTAGTCCACTCTGTTACAAGTAAAAGTCCTGCATTGAAAATGTTCAGTAAAAGAAACTGTTATTGTGAAAATGTACTTAAAGTATTAAAAGTAGAAGTAATCTACTATATATACTATACTGTTATATCATGCCTCTGACTCATGCATTGATGTAAAAATAGGATGAACTATTTTGTATCAAAGTGCAACTGTTGATTATTTGCATTACGGATAAACCTGCTGATTATTTTTTCCATTATTCAATTAACTGGTTTGTAAAACCTAAGACAGTAGCGAGAAGTTTGTGTGTGTGTTTCTGGGGTCAGATCAGGATCACTGCGAGTCCTTTTATAAGTCAGAGGTTAACAAATGAACAGACAATGTGGAAGATAATTTCGATAGCACATTTTATAACCAATGTTTATCGTTTGGGTTTAAAGTTATAAACGGGACACATACTTTGACCTGAACAGAGAGAGGACGTTCTCGAAGGTGTTTGTTTTTTGAGATATCCAGCTCAGCCAATTTAAATTTCCTTTTGGTGGATGGAGTTTGATTCTTTCAGCCTCCTCCTCTCTGCTCTTTGTCCACTGAATGTTTGCGTGTGGTGCCCGTTTTGGAGTCCTGGGTGGCATAACAATAATTTAAGGAGAATTTCCAGGCCCTAGGTAAAGGAAAGGAAATCAGGAGAACCTCTTGTCCCCTTGTATACCAACCCAGTCACTCTGTGACTCAGGGAAAACCCCATTGCTATTAATTAGCTGTGCAGAGTGGACTTGATGGTATGATTCCTGTTTGTATTTGTGGAGGCCCCAATGATGCGCTCCTTATCTAAAACACAGCTCATGTCAAAACTTGACTGCTGCTCATACATGGAATCCACAGCCAGAAGATTGTACCAGATGCAGCTGTGAGATCAGCTTGCCAGTCTTAGGGATTAAAAACAGGTTTGAAAACGACTGCAAAATCTGCTTCAGACACAGCTTCAATATAATAATGTTATTTGGCTGTACTTAGCTCAACATTAGGTACAGAGCCTATATGAATTCCACACAGTAACCAATGTACTGCATTTGCTTGTTTATATAATACTAATATTTCCCCTGGTGTACAATTAATTGCATCCCCTGAATTAGTATCATGATTAATTCAGAACATGTGGTCACTCTGTATTCACGTGTGAAGTTTTCTCATGGAAAACAAACTGCATGCTCGAGCCAGTAGCCCTGTTTGCTCTGTTCATTAGGGAATAATTAGCTTTAACTCATGAACATACTGCTGCACTCGAGACATCAAGTGAAATAGAAGGCTCTGTTGGTTTTTAAGAGCAACAGCTTTAAAACAAAGCTTAAATCTTAATTCTGTTTTCACTAATGGAATTTGTAAGATTCTTAAAATGGACAATCCAAAGTAGATAAAGCTGCACTTTGAGAAGGGAAGAGGTGGGGACTGGGGATGGTGCCAAGCAGTGGTGCAATAAAGTTTAAAGCAGATGTAACAGTTTACTTAGTGTACTGGTGCCGTGAGAAAACTTGCCAACTGTTTTCCTGTACGCCGCCCTCCTTGTCAAAATTTGACAGATGATGTTTAGATGCACTGCCAGTCAATTCCTGCTCTGCCTCTCAAATGCTTATACAGTAGAGACTTCTTAACCTGACCTGAGTAAATGCATGGCTTTTGGGACCTTTCAATTGCCATCTTCCAAACTCTTCTTAAAGTCTTTACAGAGCATTTGCAACTTATTTTTTATCGGCTTTTTAAAACTAAATAAGCAAAAAATACTTTCACAAATTAAAAGGATAAAGGCAATACCATAGTTTGCATGCAAGATCACCACTATTTAAATTATTAATTAGTAGTACCCGTCCATGGTAGGCTAGTGGTTAAGACGCAGCGCTCTCGCCGTGGCGCCCCGGGTTCGAATCCAGGTTGCGTCAGGAAGGGCCTCCGGCATCAAACACGTGCCAAATGCGAGTCGTCAGTGTGATGATTCACTGTGGCGACCCCCTTTCTTTCTAGTAGTACTGTAAACAAAGTTAACAGAGAAAGGCAGGACAAGAAATGGTGAGAGTTGCTGCCGCTGCTCAATCTTTGCGGTTTAGTACCACAAAGCTGGCAAAACTCCTAGAAAGACAGGCTTAATCCCAACTTGTTCTGATTTGAGGTTGTAATACATGAATGTTTGAAGCAAGTTATACAGTTACATTCCCACTAAAAGGATCTAAATGCATATTCATTCAGAGCCCTTTGATTGACAGCTTAGCAGGTAGCACACTCTCAACAAACCTGCTCTGTTGTATTTGTAGCTTGCAGAGCAAGTCACAGATGTTAGTGAATACACATTGTCTTTGTGAAAGGTACCACTTCACAGACGGATCCGCCAAATACTGTATGTCTGAATCTTGACCAAATATGTCCAAATGCACTGACAGAACCAAAGCCCCATTTCACTGCCTACTTCAAATACAGCAGAGGAGTGGAGAGAACAGCCGTTGCAGCCTTTGCAGCTGTCAGTGTCCAGGTAGTGACATTAGCTTTGGACTTGACCGTCTTGCTTTGCAAGGATGATCAGACTGACTTTCTGAAGTGTTAGCTTACAGCTCATGACCAATCACACATGATAAGGCTCATAATCAGATGTATAGTATAAGTAAAGGCCTTCTTTGTATCACATTACAGAATTACTGTTTATACAAGTCCGTTGACAATTTTGGTTTCTCATTAAATTCTGACTAAATTATTACATTTAAGATTGAGACATCTACAAGCTTGAACAGAAACAGGCTGATATTATTATGCTTTTAGTGACTGTCGGAGGTTTCTTCCTTTAACGGGAGTTTTTCCTCCCCGCTGTCACCAAGTGCTTGCTCAAGGGGGATTTCTTGGGTTTTTCCTCCGTAATAATAATAATAATAATAGTAAAGTAACCTTACTTTGTAAACTGTCCTGAGATGACTTTTGTTGTGATTTGGTGCTATACAAATAAAATTGGATTGAATTCAATACTCTGTGCATATATACCACTCAGGTACTACAGAGGAGCTCAAAATTGGATTGTATTGGAATGTAGTGGCCAAGCACAAACCAACAGTGTCCTGGCTCCTTTTCCTTACAACAGATATTTAATCACCGGGGGTGGACTTACTCAAAGCCTTTACATTCATCGGTCTGTTTTGATTGTAAGCCAGGCAGCACAACTGCAGACAGATAGCACCTCTGCCCCCTGTGATATTGTGGAGCTCTCTACTCATCGAGCACCTGTCAGTGGCAGCATGGCCACACCCTGTGTTACCTAAAAACAAAAATTAAATAAACACACACTTTTTGGTTACAGTTTGGCTAGTTAGGGCATTTAGAAGAGATGTGGTTAGTACTTGTCTTATCACTGTTTCCACACTGCCCACAGTGAGCAGAGGTAATGATGGTTAGTGCAAACATTAGTTGCATGGTGTTTCATGATACTTTTTTGTGTGTATATTTTGTTTCTGTGTCGGCCTGCTGTGTCTGATTACTGTCCAGGGACTGAGATGGAAAAAGTGCGAGCGACTACAGAGAACAGTAGCCCACCCCAAATCATGCCCTGTTTGAAAAATCCATTCACACCCACCAGACGACTTAGTACACACACCCACAGAGGCAGATTCCATCTACCATCGGCACCACTATGTCAGACAACACCGTCAAATGACCTGTGCACCCACTGATCCTCTGTATAAAAAACGAGCTTGTGTCACTCTGTGATATTTAACAGAGTACCAGCAGGGTTTAGTCAGCTCTCTTCCCTGATCTTCAAACCCTCAGTATCATGCTGACTTAGAGATTCCAAAGCTGAAATCCCTCTTTGTTTGCCCTCCACCTACCCACTGGTCCAGGTCAGTGAATTAATTAGTGATTGAGGGAGGAAGATGAAGTAGCTTATCCCTGCTGATGTTGTCTAATAAGGGATTTTTCAGTGCCCTGGCTCATTGTTATTGACCCAAAGGCCGTTGACTGAAAGGTGCTGCATAACTTCTCTCCAGTCCTCCCATCCACAAAAAACTTCATTATCTCATATTTGTGAACAGAGCAGTTTTTCAATTCTTACTTGCATGTCTTGCCTATTCTGTTCACTGCCAATTATGATGAGTGCCTTCTCGCATCAGCAACAGTTTTGGGTGCAGAGGACATACAGTCTGTGCGAATCCATTAAAACCTATTTTTTAATAGATATGTTTATTTTTCTGTGAAGATCTATAAATACTACAAATGATGCAATTATAACCTCTAAATAGCTGATGCCAATATATTATTGTCTCTCCACAGGTACGCCATCATGTGTGGGATTATGACAGAATATGACACCATACAGAACAAGATAAAGTATGGATACATCTTTAAGGTAAGTTGTTGTCATTTAACACAGACAATACTTATCATACTGTGTCCAGAACTGCACATTCTTGTAACTACTTAATGTAATGTCAGCACTATGTGTGTGTGCGTGCATATATATATATATATACATATATAAAGTATACCTGCTTTAAGTATATATACTGTACTTAGGCCAGTAAGCTACCCCTACAGCCACTCAGTTACATAAGATGGAGTGTGGAACAACAGCATGTAGCATTTTATCTTCTGCCAGCAGCTACCTGCAAAATTCTTGACATGTGAAAGAAAAAGATAAAAGGCTGGAGAGGGAATATGGGGAAGGGTGCGTGATAGTAGGGGGGGCGTGGTCACTTGACTAGATTGCGTGTGTGAGAGGTATTTATGAAATACTTGTGAGTTGGTGAAGCAGGACAGATCAGGTCAGAACAGAAGGCAGTAGAAATAGCAGCAGTATCATGCATCACCAGTGAAAATCTTTTCTCTCCCCTCCCAGGATCATCTCGATAAAGCCATCGAGCTGAAGCCGCATGACCCCATGTCCTACTACCTGCTGGGCCGCTGGTGCTACGCAGTATGTGAGCCTGCTGAGACACCACACAACACACGTGTCTCTCCCATCTGTCGTCACATTGACAAATAGTGAATTTATGGAGAGTGGCACGTCTGTGTGCCCTCCCAACTCCCTTTGCTCACCCGCCCACAGTTTCCCCTCATTCATTGCCACTGTTTAGTTTCCCCAAGGCTGGTTCTGTGATATTATCAGATACCACTACAGGAGGTTAACATCAGCCATTGTTAGTTTTAGATCAGATTATACCAGGAAGATATTTTCATCCTGTTTGGCTCATGTTCTTTCATTGCAGGCGGTTGTTTTGATGCAGCTCATGATCGTTTCTATAACCATTGGGTCTTCTCTGTCAGTTATCTAATCACTACTGGTATTTTTGAAAAAGTGTATGATGATGAATTATTGTCATTTAGAGGCTTACAGATGTTCTGCTGTTTTTTTTAGCTGTTTATCACGTAACTGTCAGTTAGTTGTTAAGCTAACTGCCTGAAAAGAAGGAAGCTATACAGACTTCGCTCTGATTAAATTATATACTACTCACGTAAACTGAGAAGGACTGAATTACTTTGCAAATTTAATGAGGCAGTAACACCTGATATTTTCAGGGATTGAGTTTTACGGGCTGCCTTTCGTTTATGTTCAACAATGATCTACTGTTTGCATTCAGCCAGAAGTTCTGCTTGAAAGGTCCTGTGAGGATGCCAGAGCAGTGCCACACCTGCAAATAGACATTGCCCTGATGATGGGTAAAAGGCAGGAACATTACTTGTTCTCCTGGTCATTATCATCTGCAAAAACTGTCAGTAGAGACGTATCAGAGTACACGCTGCCTGTGGTCATGGAAATACTGGAGAAGTCACAATGGCCTGGGATCATTAAGAAAAATTAAATGTAAACAATCCTGCTAAGAACCTTTATGGGTATTCGTTTTTATAAGTGAATACCTACAAAATTCATTAACTCTGTTTCCATTAATTGTTAAAACTCTTCATTTCACGGTTGGTTGCTCAGGGATGTAATTTCTTTAAAGGGACTAAAAATCTCTTATATAAAAATCTAAAGCGGGTTAGCAGTAAGGTCAGAGAAATTCAAATGAACTTGAAAAGTTAAATGAACTGTAGATGTTAACACATTAATTGTAGAATTTTTATTTCTTGTGATTATAACTTGTTGATTTCATTTTGGAAATATGAGGACACAGAGACACTGGAAGTTTTTAGGAATTGTGCCAGCAAAAAAAAAAAAAAAACAGTTGACGGCCATTGCTATTCACAACTGCTCAGCAGTGATTTCTTCAAGAGTAACTTAAAACCCCCTCAGATCTCACTGGCCACCTGCTTTACGTTGCTGCAGTGATGTACAGGTGCATGTTGTATCACGGTAACATCGCTGCTGGGTATGGTTACAGCTGCAACAAGTACATTTCTGACCACAGCCAACCTCACCCAGCATGTGAAATGTTCAGCCAGAGAGAGCAGTGAAACATTTGTTTTTAACCTGGTGTTAACTCTCTCCCAGACTAATTAACAGAATTGTCTTTAAACATGAGGTGTTTGTTTTGCAGGCGGCTCAGTTATCATGGATTGAGAGGAAGGTTGCAGCCACGTTATATGGAGAACCTCCAAGTGCCACAGTTGAAGATGCACTGAAAAACTTTCTTAAGGTACTTTTTTTTTTTTAAACATTTGGGGATGTTCATCTCCTTAAGGGCAGAGTGCTGTATATTCAAATGCATTAGTTCTTACAACATGTTGTCCACATCTGAATGAGCAGGCCTTCACAGAGAGGGTGAGACGCAGTGAGTCATACCAATGGGGATAAGGGTGCACACTTGCCCATAATATATGATATAGTTTAATGTAATGTGTTGATGCTGCTGTGTGAAGAATAAAGCTTGTGAGTTCGAATCCCGTGTGTTTTCACACGTGGCCAGAGATCGCATAAAGTTGCAATGAGTTTTGGTTTGTTGGATACCCTGTTTCAAAAGCTGGTGGCGGAGGGGTTTTCCAACAATGCGGGAAGCAGTTTGCTTGAAGCATGCTTTAGAAATGCTTCAGTCTGTGTGCCCGGTTTCTTAACAAGGTTGACTAGAAAGTAATGACACAAAACAGGGACTCGTTTTCAGTTTCATACTGTTTACTTGATTACATGCTCACCTCTGAGCTGCCCTGATTAATGAAACATGACCTACAGTGTCCTAGCGTTTGCATGCAACTTTCCTCCAGGTCGCTCCTTCATCAAGCCTTCTGTGTTTAAAAAAACGTAACCTGTGTTCCCACAATTCAGATGTTTATATAGTAGAGAAATTAATTTTGCTTCTGGCCAATATTCCTGTGCATGCCCCTTCTTCGCGTCTTATTTAACTCATCCATCAAGTTGATTTAAGTGCTCCCTGTTATGACATGTTGCTCGTGACCTGGACCTGAGCCTCCAGAGAACCTGTCTGTTGAGCTTTAAAGAAATACATCCTGCAAGGTTAAGGAAGATCCCTGGCTTCTAACCTGTGCCTAACCTTGTAACCAGCCATACCTGTGTGAAGATCAGTGTCTTCACTGAAATCTGAATATGATTAGTAGTTGAAATAGACCTACATTTATACCAGCAGCTACCATTACAGCTTTACTTGTGAATTATTTTGGATATATTACACATAACATGCTAGAGTAGTACTTTTGTCTGTATAATGAACCAAATTCTGTGTTTTTATTCAGGTTGAGGAGATCCAGCCTGGATATTCTAAACTCAACTATGTGTTTCTAGGCAAGGTCAGTGCCAGAGACTTTAGGTAACGATTGTCTTGTAAGATGTGGATGGTCCTGTGGGATCCTACTGGGACTAAACAAGGTGTTGACAGGTTTTGTTCTTTTCTTTGGCAGTGCTACAAAGACCTGGGCCAGATGGAAAAAGCTATGGATATGTATGAAGCTGCTTGTTTAGCAGATGCTGTCTCCAAAGAGGTGAGCTTTATCACTGTCCTATTGCAGTACTGTGTTTATATTCATCTCACTGGGTTATTCCTTCAGACATATTTTACCGCATTTTAAATGCTGTGTTTTTCCTCAGGAGGAAGAGGCACAAAAGGAGCTGGACTTACTCTCCCAAGCACTTGGCATGTGACAACACCGAGCAGTAGCACATTCTTTTGGAAATGTTTTTCCATGTGGTAATGGCAGTGTGTGTGTGTGTGGGTGTGAATATAGTGTGTATTCAGAGGCCATTATGTTAGTTCACTCTGTGAGTGGAGGCAGGTGCATTGTGGCATTATGTCATCAGCGGGAGTAATAAGTTGTCCTGTCAGAACCACCCTGTGTACTTTTAAATCAGGCTTGTTTCTAATGTTGTGCTTGCGTAAACATTTAATAGTGGAAAAAGAACTTGACATAGCTGGTTGAACTAAATCAGTGAGATAATTGCCCTGTCATATATAATCAAGCCTATTGCCATCAAGTCGTTGAGTTGGATTTTTTTTAATTATTACAGAAATTTGATTAATCATAAACTAAACAGGATTCAGTGTGATTGATATATATGTATTAGTGCTGTCAAAGTTAATGCGATAATAATGAGTTAACGCTAATTCATTTTGTTGACGCACAATTAACATGCACATTCTATGATTATGATCCTTGGCCCGCCCTGTAGTTTGGGAAATCAAGACGCAATGATTGCCTGCATATAAAAACTGTACAAACCTACCATGACATCACCCATTGGTTATCTGAAGAGTGGTCGTGACGCTCAAGTGTGGTCGTCACCATATTGGTAGCACTTCATTTCACCTGCTGGGTCTAATTCAAAAATAGGCAAAGAGGTAGAGTGGTAGTGGCGCTCACTAGACAGCCACCTATGGTGAGACCCTCCCACCTGTCACTCAAAGCAGCCACATCCTTAATTATGCATAACGTTTAGTCTCAATACAATTTAAACAGGTGAGTTATATAAAAAAAACACACAGGTGATGCAGAGAGTCGTCCTCCCTCTCACCAAAGGCAGACCATGCTGGATAGTTTGCAAATGGAAACACCTGGACAACTCTACAAGCAACATACAAGCAATTGGTGACTACTGCTTGCAGGCCAGTTATCACTGTGGAGGACGAGGGTCTGCTTGAAATAATTGGCATCGCATCCAAAGACCAGACATTTTGAACCGGTGGTGGAAGAAGTACTCAGATCCTCAAGTAAAAGTAGCATTACTACAGTGTAAAAATACTGTGTTAAAGTGAAAGTCCTGCATTCAAAATGTTAAGTTAAAGTACAAAAGTCTTGGCATCAAAACATACTTAAAGAACTAAAAGTATAAGTACTCATTATGCAGATTGCACGTTTCTCATTTTTCTATAACATATTATTGTAATAATTATAATTACTAATACATTATTGTGTACATCGCATTTAATGTTGCAGCTCGTAAAGGGGGAGCTAGTTTTAACTAACTTATACTTAGTTACTTTCTACCACTGTTTAGAACAGAAAAAAATGTGCAATTAAATATTTTAATCGATTGACAGCACTAATAGAACTAAACTGTGTGGTGGACTCTCATTGGTCTGACTGATGTGGTGAGGGGTGCAACTCCACTGTGTCTGACGTTTCCTTGACAGCAAAGACCTGTCACCTTTTGGGAAAGTGACTCACAGGCCATGTTGTTCCTTTCTGTTGCTTTTTGTTTTGTTTTTTTGTCTTTCCCACCACACATTCGGGTGAAATGAACAAAAGCAGACACTGGTGCACCCAATAGCAGGTCTTGGAAAGCCATGGCAATTTCACAGCCTTTACAGTGCAATGGCTACATTTACATGCAAACTTCGTAAAGTTATTGGATTATGTAGTAAAAGTATTTAGATACATGTTCTTTTATGATCCCTTTGTATGAGAGCTGATGTACTGTGGTTATTGTCCACTGAAGACATTCATTATCCATATACCTTCCTTTGCTTAGTTTCTGCATGTGACAGTATTGTCATTCCAGTATACTGTAACTGTAGTTTATCAACAGATCTAACATGAAGACACTACATAGCACACTCTGGGTGCAATAGGCTTTCATTATATTTCCTGGGCCACACTTGTACTGATTTGTTTGTGGCCTTCACTGATTCTTTTTACTTGGAACTCTAAGTAGGACATGTGAATATGTCAGAGTTTACTTATATGGCATTTCATGCACTTTTGTTTGGCCTGGTTAGCAGTCAACCCTGGGTTTTTGATTTTCCGAATTTGGGACTGCAGCCCACAAGTCCTGTGTGCTCTCTTACATGTTCCCCAGATCATTAACAAAAAAACCCTGAGGTGGGTTTAATTAAGAACCCATAGATGAATTCCTAACTGAATTGAGAGTTTACGTTAGAACCTTTGAGGACAGATTTTCTTCCTGGCAGGTTACCTCAATCCTGTGGTTTTCTGCACATTTTCTTTTGGAGCTTATTCCTTTATTGTATTTGCCTTATACTGTTTTTAAATCTGTGTCATCTGAAGTCTCAGAAAATTTCCCAATGTTAAAGAAAGAACTTGATGTCCCAAGTAAAAAAAGGGTGTGTGTGTGTGTGTGTGGGGGGGGGGGTTGGGGGGGGGGGGGGGGTTGAATATTTATAGAATCCTTCTATTACATTGGATTTATACAATACTTAACACCTAATTATCCTAATTTTGCTTAGGTTAATGTAAAAAAAAACACTTGGGTAAGTTCATATGATCCACAGTTTCTCATTTCTGTAGTGACAAAGGTGATGATCAGACTTCATCAGGACACTGAAGAACAAATAGGTCAAAGTGTTTTTACAAATTGCCATTCTGGTATGCATGCTGAGTCATTGAGGGTGAGCTTTTTTGTCATTTTTATGTCCCTGTGAGTCCAGGCCACACTGATCTGGGCTGGCTCTCTAGTAAAACTACTGAGAACGCTGGCCCATTGCTTTAGCATCATTTGATGGTGAATATTATTGCGTTCCAGGTTAGATAATTGCATTAATATGTGGTCTGATCAGACTAAAGTAATACTTATGCATTCCGAATTGTCATAATAATGTTTCTACTCAATCTTGTGTGATGCATTTGTATGACACCTGTGGTTCTGTTTCTTTCAAAGGACTTTATTAAATTAGTTTGGTTAGTTATAATTCATTATACATTTTAAGGTGAACCTGCATTGTAAAGGATTGTTTTTAATCTGTACTTTGTAGATGTTTCTACCAGCAATATGAATGTGTTTGATCTTTTTTTCTCAAATGCCAAAGCAAGTGCACTATTCCTCAAGGTTATATCAAATCTGATACATTACATAGAGATTATACTATACGGGATCATAGGCAGTGGGTACTTTTGTTGGAGTTTATAATTAAATCTGTGCAATCCTGACATGAGTTGCCATTTTGTCATTTCTCTTGTTTGTTTTGTCACTTTATGAGGAATATCTTCTTCCAATATGTTGTTTAATTTGTAACTTAATAAAAAGTTTGTGATATTTGCTATAAACTAAGTTGATCTTGGTTCTTAATCAACAAAAATGTTAGCAAGCACACTCCTGCAGACATATAAACGATTGTGGCATTGGTTCCCTTTCCCCCAGACTGAACATTTTGTGCCTGGGCTATTACAAATTAGTTACTGGATCAGTTTCCAGCCAGTGTCCCTGCCAGTCTTCAAACATTTTTCCCCATGATGGAACCACTCTAAATAGGTGCCTCCCAAACAAGCACCTTTTTGTTTATACATGTGAAAACTTCACCCTGCTGTGACAATTTTTATCAACTTCCTATGCATTTTAATCAAAAGCCTCAGTTGAGACAGATGCAGAACTCACTTAGAGCTGTGTTAAGAAAACTTTGTTTATTCACAGACATCACATAATATATCTCTGGGTATGAGCGCATCTAATCGTGATGTCTGAACATGCTGGCATGTGTTGCATAAGAATTTAGAGGCTGCAGCTTTCAAGCTTTCTTTCTTGTGAAATCCAGTGGGAAAAGTAGAACCAGTAGCTTCTATTGAAGGACTGCTGTCTGTCATGAGCAGGTGAAAAGCACCTCATCATTTTTATTTGATTCGCTTGCATTCTTGACTGTGTTGTTTGTTGTCCTTTGAACTGCGGGGCCATATTGATCCACCAGTTTCTCTCATTTGATTATGTGTGTATTTAACAATATGGTAACTTCAATAATCACACATTTATAAAAATATGCACGCATGTGATAACAGTATAAAGTGAAATGATGACATCCTTAAAACTAGAATTAAACTCTGTGCCCCTTGAGAAGAGGTCTCAAGATTATGTAATAATGCAGGTGTTTATATAGTGCTTTACTGGCACATGAGTGCAGGATTACCAATAAAAAAATAAAAAAGCTAAATACCACATTCAACCTGGCGCCATAGAACAGTTCCCTGCTTTGTTAAAGGTGCTTAAACTTGTCTCTACAGTACATTGATTGTGTAAGTGTAATGTACAGAATTCTGTTCATGTCTTCATCTTCACTGCTCTGCTCTGGTCTTTACCTGCACTCAACTCGTCCAGTCCGGACTGTCCTGAACTCGGACTTGACGTTGCTCGAATGGGACTGACTTCAGCCGTGCACTCATGTTTTACGTTTATGCAGGGCTCCTAGTATTCACCCTCCACAGCCAGCAGCCTTCTTTCTGCATTCCACATCTGCACAGTTGCTGATATTCATTCAGATCTCCATATATCCCTCTATGCATAATCTAAGCTCAGCTATGTCAAAGTTACACAACTCTCAGTCAACAGCAGAAGGATCTGTATGTGCTGCTTGCATTTTATCCTCAGCCGGTGCAGGATACAAGTTAAAATAGAGAGATTAGACGTAATGACATAGGTTACACTGTATCTTGCTGCTTCATGGAGTATTTCATCTTTGTCAGAAGGCTTATGCTACCACAGCTCCTTTTTATGCTGTGTCAGATACGCTTATTCAGTACACCGGCTTTACTGTGCAACAAGTGACCTCTCTCTTCTTATCTTAATCTTTAATCAGCATGTGCCTCAGATATTCATGTTTCCTTTGTGTTTCACTTCCACAATTAGCAGGATAAAACAGTCTTCTTGACACACCTTCTAAAGCTTCCTGTGATGCAAGGAGGGAAAGGTGTCAAAAGCAATAAGCCCTGAAGGCTGGTATTGTCTGCAAATGTAACTGAAGTCCCATTCAGTCGGACATATCAGCCATGCCATCGTCAGCTCCTTGGTACTTTGTAGTTCATTTGTGTTCAATGATTTGTCAGCTTATTTTGAGAGAGAGGTGCAAAGACAAACTTTGTTTTCCTTCTAATTCATAAAGATTATGCTTGAAGCACTGCCAAACATGACTTCACTGGCATTATTTAGCCTAAAGTTTTAATTTTGCAGGGGAAAGGAGCATGGAGAGAGCCATATCAGTATTCTTCTAGTTTTATCCGACTTTGCCACGCTCTCCAACTGGCTGGGTGCATGCGTCTCATCGATCCAGTGCAGGATGTTCTGGTGGAACAAGATAAAACACTTCTCTTTTGTTTCCACCTGACCTAGAAAGTTGGCAAGAGTTTGCTGCATTTTTTTCATGGTTAGACAATGTTTTTTTTTGTTTTGTTTTTTTTTTTTAAATGAGCTGTGCCTGATCGGCATCAATACAGAGTCACACCGGTGTCAGGTTTTTTAAACAAACCAACATGAATCTAGCTACAGTGATATTAGATCCTACATTGAATGCTTAGAAATTTTAAATGTGTCAGTAGAGATTTAATGTGATAATTTTCTCACTGAAGACAAAGGAAACAAAGTTACTCTGTTTATTATATTTAAAACAACTTTCAGGCAGGGGAATTGAAGAAACACTCAGTAGAGCAACATCACAGATATCTGTACAGTCAAAAGCTTAAAGTACTGTACTGCTACATTGAGCAGTAATATATTGTTTCACTCATAATTCATACAGTTTTATAAAAATAAGCATCTGTGGTAAAGATACTGTGAATACTAGGATATTTTTGATATTTTCTCTTAAACTGGATTACATAGTCCCGAAATGCTTCTGCAAGACGCCAGCAAACATTCAAATCCAAGATTTTACTCTCGATGCATTAGTCTCCCATGCTGAGACTGCAGTTTAGATGAGTCTACAAAAAAATAAAAGTGCCCCCAAGTGTGCCAGTGCATGAATATTTTTGTGAATAAAACTACAAAAAGAAGAATTCATTTGAGCCTGGACAATAAATGATAGGTTTTTCATAGAGCAGCATTCTTCAACATTCAAACTTTAACAAAATCTTTGTGGCTAAATAACACTGGTCTAACACTCCATTGGACAGCAGTTCACAGACACATAGTACTTTGTACCTTTTGCCTTTCAAACAGCAACTACAGGGGGTTTCAGAATACATTTGATGCCTTTCACAAGCACCGTAGATAAAATGGCTTTTGGCATTTCACAGGTCTTATGTTAGTAATGAAACTTTTATCTTAGTAGAATTTATAGGCTTAGAGCCGAGTCACTCCACGAAACTTACTAATCACCGCATTGATCAGGAGCTGAACTTAGATGATTAAATTATGAAACAAAAAATCTTGTAACTCCAGTTTTGATTGTTTATCTTCAAATAGCAACACTTGTGTGTTCTGAGACATTTCATATTACATTAAAAAAGGGTTTGGAACCCTTATTAGGAAAACCAACAAAAAGTGAATAAAAAGAGCGAACAAGATAAATTAATTACTTACAGGCAGATTTTTCACAGATACAGACAGCAAAAATTTTAACAGAAACACAAAAATTACAAGGGTGTGTTACAGCAGCTATTCAAGCTTCCAACTCCTGCTGAGGTCTGGTTCAAGCTCTTCGCTGCTGATGTGCTGACTGCAGTCCTCTGCCTTGATGGGTCAAAAGAAGTTACTAATTGCTATGTCGGGTTGTGTTTGATTTTGTAAGAGAATCAACTAAGGTGCACAACACCATGTCTGCTATGAAACTGATGCCACAACTCTTTCTGTCAGACACTGTGGTGCTTAGAAAGAAGTTAGTACTCAGTGATCACAACTGTTTAATCATTCTCAAGTCACTTTCATGTTAAGCATTTAAAACAATAAAGGATAAGAAGTTGATGAGATTTAGGCTTGTAAGTTAAGTTTTCAGCCAACAGAAATGAGTTGTAGTTTTGTGTATTATGTGTTTCATTCATTTTTTTGTTAGGGAGTCTGATGACAGCTCACCCTTGACCTCCTCAGCAAGGGGCAGCTTGGTGGCAGCTTCTAGCAGAGTCATCTTCACGTAGAGACACTGCTATGAAGAAACTATGAGGCTTCAGAGTTAGACCATAGTTGTAGTCCAGTTTGGGAGGTCTGGCTGGGTCCGCGGTGATGTGGCACTGATGGACGATGAAGGCTGTGAAGAGGAACAGCTTCAGCTTCGACAGCTCCTCGCCGATGCAGCGGCGCATACCCAGGGAGAAGAGGAGCACACTGCTGGTCAGGTCCTTGTCCAGGGCTCCATTCTTGTCCAGGAAACGCTGGGGGTCAAAGGTCTCTGGATGTTCCCACATGGACGGGTTGTGGTTGATGGACCACTGGTTGATGAAGATGACAGTGTCTTTTGGTATGGTGTAACCCATAATGGAGGTGTCCGTGGTGGTGGAGTGGGGAATGGTGAGAGGGATGAAACTTGTAAAGCGCATCATCTCGTAGATGAAGGCCATGACGTAAGGCAGCTGCAGCTGGTCCTCAATGGAGGGGAGTCGGCTGCGGTCCACCACCTTGTCCACCTCCTGCTGCAGACGTGTCTGCATCTCAGGATACCTGCATTCACAGGTGAGAGCTCCTCTTAATCTCACTTAATAAAGTCATTAGTGAGCAAATATCTCTGCAGAAACTACCTGACATGTATTCAATTTGATCTGAAGACTTCATTTGTGGATATATTGTCCCTCCTTCACCCAACCCCCAGAGCACTTTGCACACTATTACTGAAAGGTACTACAGCCGTGGAATTAACATCTCTTCTTTTAAAACTACTAGCTCAAGGTGTTGCATTACACCAGCCTGCTGCTCAAGACATCGGGCAGTGATGGGATTAAACAGCCAAGCAAGATGAAAAAATGAACTCATGTAAAATGAGACAAAGACCTTACTACTTGTATGGTGAAATGCTGACTGGGCACTTCATTCACTTTCACTGGTAAGCAGTTTCAGCTCTTTATGCTAGACTGCCAGTTCTCTGAGTCTCAGCTTTCCCACCAGGCTGTTACATAACACACCTGAACATCCTCAAGTCTGGACAGTTACTAAGGCAGATTTATTATCTAGCATTATTTCCCATTGTAATTTACACTGGATATTACTTAAGAAAAGCTGCTTACTTGACAAGTATGAGGATGATCCATTGCATGGCAGTTGACAGTGTGTCTTGACTTGCTCCAAATATATCCCCAAGAATGGGGGGCACATAGTCCTTCCCTAAGGAAAACGCTGTTTTGTCTCTCAGTTGGTCCAGAGCTACTATAAATGCATCTGTCATGTCTCTGATGGTTCCTGACTGGAATGTTTTTCTGTGTTCAACAACTTTATCTCGAACGAACTTGCTAAACTCTATGTTGAGCCTCTTGAAGTTTTCAAATATGGTTTTGATGGGGTTGGGGAAGTACTGGAGCCAGGGCATCACGTCCACTATGCTCCCTGCTCCCACTGTTTGGGTGAACTGGTCGTTCCTGCCCACCACCTGCCGAAATTCCTCGTCATCATAGGAGTACCTCTTCCCAAAGCACACAGCGCTCATTATGTTGGCGGTGGACACCACTAGATAAGTCATGGGCTGGAAATACTCGTCCCGCTTCGTTTTCTCCACAAACAGCTGCAGCAGCTCTCTGAACTCGCAGAGGACGTGGTGCTCAAATGTCTTTTTGGTGTGCGCGTTCCCAGTGGAAAACATCCGCACAGTGGAATGGGCCACTTTGCGCTGCGCCTTCCACCAATCCGTCATAGTGCCAAACGCCATACTGTTCCCTTCGGACACGTATTGGAAGGAGGTGAAGTTCGGCCTGCCGGCAAAATCAGGTCCCTGTTTGACCAATGCTTGTCTGATGCAGTCCCCATTCAGCACCACCACGGTCCGGGAGCCCAGCTTTATTTGGAAGACGTTGTCGTATTTCTTCGCCATGCGCGCAAAATACAAGTGTGGTGCACTGCCAAGTTGAGCAGCGTTCCCGATGAATGGCCAGGCCAGCGGACCCGGCGGGGAGGGGATCGAGGGCTGCCGGAGCCACCGCCACAGGTGCAGGGAGAACAACAGGATCACACATGTCAGTAACAGAGCTCTTACATTCGCTGTATCAAACCACTCCGATGTCACATCCATGATGGGAGTCCTGTAGGGGGATTGTGACCATCATATGGATATTAGACACATATATAATTAAAAGTTTAGAATATATGGTACACTTTGCATGTAGGCTTGTGGCATTAAATGTAATGAAAGATGTGTTGAATTAGTAGGTGAGTAAATACCTGTACCTATGTCCTTGGTTCATCGAAAAATACCACTATTTAATTCTGTTTCTGTTTTGAAAAAAACTTCAAATCCCACTTGTTTATTCGTGAACAGATCAGACTACATTTAGAACTTGAAAAATATTAGAATGTTGCTCTTAAAAATGTACAAAACCAAATATAAACATTCACAGCTGTGCATCCACAGACTCAGTGTGGGGACCCTGCTCTCTGTCCGCAGCCTGCGCAGGCTTTGAGACCCGGCAACACCAGCTGAAGTCATTTATCCCCAAACAGCGCAACAGCGTGGGCAGGTTTGTTGCAAAGGGTGTCACCCTACCCTCCCACCATCACCTCTTCCTCCACCCACCTCTCTCTGGCTCTCTCCCTCCTCCTTTGCTTGTAAATGGGAGCGTTTAAACTCAAATCAATGAACGGAGGTGAGTTTTCAAAGACAATAATAGATGATGAAAATACAAAAGACATTATACCTATGGAGGTTTAGTCATTTAAAATTCATTAAAGTGCTTTAAAACAATAATAATAAAGGATATAATAATTATACACATTATTATGATTATGATGAATAAAACAATCATAATAATTATAAACATTATCATAATAATTATTCATTAGTCATAAGACTTTCATCTGTAGTCCCCATGCTGTTGCTGCTGCTGAATATTATTGTTATTATTATTATTATTGTTGTTGTTTGTTCCTCTCCTTTTTCAGGTAGAGTGCACTGCCGAGTGTGAAACGTGATGTCTCCTACAAGGCCTACATGATGCTACAGTTGTGTTCAAAGTATTTTCGTCCAGGAATTGGTGAAGCAAGTTTTAAAAATGTAAACATTCTACAAGGATACCTACAAATTACAAAAGGGCTCTAGACTCCTGCTCGGAGTATTTGTATCTTATGGAATGAAAATGCCACAGTGTGAAGGTGTTTTGAGGGTGCACGTTCCCATCAGCCCACCAGGAGGCGAACCCCGTGATGTAACTCGTTAATTCCTCCTAACAACCCCAGATCAGACCCTATACGTCCCACTGGTGTGTTCATAGAACAATAGTAAATGTGGAGTACTTTGGGAAACGCCCCAACAAAGCTTAAATCATCATCTGCTATATGTCAGAGGACCCCGGTCAAGGCTGGACAAAGGTAGTAGGACTGTCTCTGCTCTCTCGTCTGTTTACTGCGACTAGATAGATAGATAGATAGATAGATAGAAATACTTTATTAATCCCAATCTGGGAAATTGCATTGTTTCAGCAGCGGTTCACACTCAATATCAAACACACATACCAATAAATATAATAGTTAACTAACTAAAAATATAAAAATATAAAACAAAATATAAAATACTGCCTTAGTCAAGTTCAGACCAGGCCATCGTTCAGTCTGACGCTTTTTAAATTGTGTTTGTTTGCATTCTGCTCCTTGCTTTCTGTGCGATCAGTGTGCAGAACATACTGTATGTGGGTCTCCGTCCTTAGTTCCGGATGGGATTCAGGGATCCTGCTTCAGCACCGCGGAGAGCGGCTCAGATAAACCCGCTGGTGGTGTCCGCTGACCCTGACCAGCTCCCCAGACCTGCAGGTCTAACAGCTTTCTATAGTATTATGGTTACATAAAAATGTAACTAAATTCTAAAACATTTTGCACCCTAAGGAGTGGTAATCAGAAACACTGAGGTTCTCTGAGTAGCCTACTACTTTGCAGTAGCCAAATTACTCATTATATAACGAACTTTTTGGGGGTTATTTAATAGAATAGTTGTCTTTCTACAATATTATTGCTATTACTAGTTTACAGAATACAGTTATGAGCAATATCCTCAAATAATTAGGCTGTGAAATGAAGCTTATTCTTAATAAATCTACCTTGTCTAATAGCCTAATCATCACTGCATCTACAAAATAGTATTGATGGTCTTTATAGCAGCTGATTGCATTTAATTACTTTTTAATGACATTCATATATAACAATATTATCCTAAATGATACATTGCAGTTCTGTTTTAACATTTAATTATAGTATGAATATATTTGAGTAGGTTAATAGAAAGGTAAATCACAGAGACACTTACTGAGGCAGAGCCCTAAAGTTGTGTGATCTCCTTTTGTTCCAGTGTTGAGTGAGACCAAGGTGGAGACAATAGAGTGAATGAACAAGTGGGCCCAACTATTAGACCAAACCGCAACAGGTCCCCCAGGAGGTCCCCCAGCCTTTCATTCCACATAGTATGAAGCATGTTGGATGTGCCCAAGTCTTCTCATGTGACCAAGTAGTGGCATTATTGTCAACCAGTGATTAATGGATATCACACTAACAGGGCCAACTTTTTATTTGTATGAGGCTTTTGTTTGTTCACTTTTTAACCAACCACACACACACAGACACACTTATATATATATATACAGTGGGTACGGAAAGTATTCAGACCCCTTTAAATTTTTCACTCTTTGTTATATTGCAGCCATATGCTAAAATCATTTAAGTTCATTTTTTTCCTCATTAATGTACACACAGCACCCCATATTGACAGAAAAACACACAATTTTTGACATTTTTGTAGATTTATTAAAAAAAGAAAAACTGAAATATCACATGGTCATAAGCATTCAGACCCTTTGCTCAGTATTTAGTAGAAGCACCCTTTTGAGCTAATACAGCCATGAGTCTTTTTGGGAATGATGCAACAAGTTTTTCACACCTGCATTTAGGGATCATCTGCCATAAATTTGTATCCTACATTTAGAGGACTAATTTGTGCACCACATGAGCACATACCCAGTTTGTGGGAGCCAGAATTATTTTTGGTTGATAGGGGATCAAATACTTATTTCACTCACTGACATGCAGTTCAATTTATAACATTTGTATCATGTGCTTTTTGGGGATTTAACAAATAGAACTGATTACATGTACAGACAAAACTAAACAGAAAATACTAGTGTTCTTTGACCTTGTAACTTGAAAAGTGAGCCTCTATTAGCTTAATATTGATTGAAATTCAGGATGATGTTTCCATTTATTGACAGGCTTAAGTTCAGTACAAGAAGGGCACAAGGGGCTGCAGGGCGTGCACAGTTTGATAGGACAACACTGAAAGTTCTCTAATCATGTAGACACACAAAAACCCCCACATCAGAACTGCCTGTCTTGTTAATTATTTTCCATTAGAGATGAATCAGCGTGCCGCTGCATGATTGGTCTGACTATCACCAAACTCAACTGTCATCTGGCTTGGCGATGAATCAGAGAGAGCTGAACGTGGGAGCAAACCGTTTTACTTTGGTCCGACTGCAAGCGTCTCATTACAACTGAATGACCTCAGTGACTCCAAATGCCGTGAAGGTGTCTCCTCTTCATTCTCACACTAACAGGACATGTCCCCCCCTGAATTCTAAAACATTTTTTTGTCTTACTGCAGGAAGACATTTTCAGAGGTCTGCAGTGCAGATGAACTGTGGGTACTTTGGAAAGAATGAGAGGCTTGTTACGTGTTCAGCCGCACGACTGCGCTTTTCAAATCCCCACCAACTGAAAAAGCCATGCCCACTTCTATCCTTGTATCTGTTTTCATCACTTATTGTTTTTATTGGCCTAATTGAAGAGGCTGATGCAGCCCATGGAAAATAACCAGTGAACGGAATGTGAATAGTTTTTAATGAAGACGACATGTTGTGTTTTTGTGGATTACCTTGTGAAAGAAATGAAGTGAGGATTATGTGAAAATGAATCTTGATGACAAGTTTGATCAGGACCTCAGATTTCAAAATTGGCAAAGGCACATCTTTTTGCTCTTTGTGAGTTTTGTCCCAAACTCTATCTAGCAAAAGTTGCTTCAAGCAGTGGTAGGCTCACAAATAGTCTCTTCAGGCAGGAAACTGCTCTGAGTGACCTCAGATCCACAGTTCACATCTAATATTAGTGCAGTGTGTGTATGTGTAAAATGCAAATTCCCCATCACACACACAAAACACACAGATGAATGTTTGACCTCAGTACCAGAGGCTGTCACTTCTCCTTCCCTTGTCTGATGAGGCCTAATCTTATCGAGTCTCTGTGGGATGAAAGTGTTGCTATTCTAAGCCAAACCAGATCTGTCATTAAAGGTCACTGAAGCTTAGTTGTCTCCCCCCTTATGTTTATCTATTTCCCCCTGTGACAGGTCAAAGGTGACACAGCACTCAAAGGGAAGCTAAGCCTCTCCTAAGCAACCCCCTTCCCTGCCTTCTTTGGTGTTTTTACAAGAAAGTAATGATTAAGGGCGGTAATGCACAATGGGCTGAAGCCTGCAGAGATGGAAGTCACGCAAGGTGCTACCTCTTATCCCAGGCCAAACTCCTATCTGCCATATGAACCACAGCCATGACTTTCAAGGAAACAGGATGCAGGGAGCCCAGAGCTCAGGGGGTATGCTTTTAAATGATCTCAGCAGGATCTTCTTGTCTGTCTAGTAGCATGCAGTGAAACCAAAACTGTGCTGCTTACTCAGTTAAAAACTAAGCAAAAAACACCAACTTTTTAAGAACTGACAAAAACTCCTTAAAATTAATACATTTCAGTATTGTACTTCAGTAAAGCTAAGGGGCTCACAAGAGACAATAGCAAAAAATGGTGAAAACCAAAGCGGCAGAGTTGAAAACATTCAATTTTTAGTCCCCAGTGCAGGTCAAGTTCCAAAAAGACTCCATCCTATGTTTCAGATATTGCAACTCATCATCTTTTCATTTTAACTTCCCTGACTCATAAACATTCACTTCTTTCTAACACTTTAAGACCATCATTGGACTTTTAGACTTCAAGAAGCTTCTTCAAGAGCCACAGGAGACATCATACAACTGCTCTCACATGCTGGTTTCAGCCAGGACAAATGGCTGTTAGAAGTAAGGCTGCTTTGCTTGACCGCATTGAGCTTTGTGGCTTCTGTTCATAAATGTGCTGTGTGTTGTTATCTTATGTTATAATACTTTGGGTAAGGAAAGTGATTAAAGCAGCGTGAATTAATTTTCTTTAACCCATTAGCTCCCTAATTGCAAAGAAATGTTTAGATGCATTACTTTGCATTGTCAAATAGTTTTAGATTTTCAGATATATTTCTTTTACATATATTTATACAGCTATTTTTATTACCTCATGCCTGGCCATTTTAAAGCACCTTATAATCACTGTCTTTGGTCTCTTATTATAGCTATTGTTGCAGTTATAGTTACTGGTTCTGCTGCTTCACTAATTGTACTTGTT